TTCCAACATTCCTGATGCTCAGCATTATTCCTTCCACAAATGTTACAGCTACTGTTATCCTGGGAACTCCTGCCACTGTCTGCTTCGTGGACAGTCGCCAAAGTCTGACCACAGGCTGGAAAAGTCACAAGTGCTTCCAGTTGATGGATCAATGGTGGAATGTAATGATCTCTTTAGAGGAAAAGGGTACAGACCAAGGGTCAATATCTCTGCATTTGTACCTCTCTACCCAAAGTTCTTGGCCACAGCTTCTTTTTTTTTCAGGTCCAAGTAAATATTAACTCTCCCCTTTATGCAGTCTACTGTCAACTCTAGAAGAAAACTGACAAGATGCAAAATATTTATCCTTACATCAACAGGAAGAAAAGGACCAGACTTCTTGTTTTCCCCTTAATAGGAATTATCAGAGAAATCTACGTACAGAAAGAATGTCTCCTTAGCAGTGTTTTACACAAAAAAGCTTATTTTTCCTCTTTTCAAAAAACCAATAAAGAAATTGGATTCAATCCAACCTTCTCAGTCAAGCCTCAATTGCTCCATCACACTACCAGTTCCCACTAGTGACAATGATGGAGTGACACCTGTTACAAGATGATTTTCTGCTATTCTGACACTTTCAATTCTCCTTTAATTACCTTTTGGCTCTTTAATCAGCATAAGAATCTGTACTGCAAGGACATTTCATGTCTAGGCAATTACACTAAGGGGAAACAAATATATGTATGCTACTGTCCGAGTTCTAATTTCTTTTTTTAATAATTGTTTTACTTTTTATTTATAATTCATTTATATTCATGCCTTATGATAGTTTCTCAAAGAGACATGTAACCTGAGTTTAGATCATTTACTTCAGAAATTCGATTGGCACAAACACATATCACATTTTATTTTGCTTGACTTATAATTAATTTACAGGAACATAACTCATAGTATCTTAGATAAAATAACCAATTATTCTAGTCCCGTCTACCATTTCAGACCAAGTGTAACTATGCGAACACAAAACAACACGTAATTCTTAAAATAGGATCATTTACCTGAACCTGTATCTCTCATACATCCCTTGCTCGTAATGTTCTCACCAACATGGCTGCATACCTTTAGCACAAATTGGTTTTGCTCTGTGTAACTTAGAATAATATACCAAACAAAACCCCTCATACACTTAATTCGAGCAAAAAGCACAAAGGGTATGTCTGTTCTAGCTGATAAGCACAGATGAAAGCCAGTCTTGAGGCCACATCTCATTCTGGTTCACAGAGCCCCCACTGAGCCCAGGCAGGAACCACGGCTGAGCTCCAGAGACCAGCAGTGCCTGAGGTTTATATGCTCCAAAATCCACGGTCACATCTGCCACGTGCACTGGGCCAAGGGAGCTACATGCTTGTGTTCACTCTCCCTTGTTACAGCAGGGACAGCCTGGATCCAAGCTTCAGACAACACAATAGAGTGAGAAATAGGGCACATAAAACTCATTTTGGCCAACTCATTAATTATCTTAAGACTTCACCTCAAGTGTAGACATACCAGACATGAGTAGCTTTAGACCCCATCTTACCCTAAGGAAAAACAGCTACAACAGCACAATAATAGGTATCCAGCAATAGTAAGCCTGGGGAATTCCTGCTACAGGATCTGGAGGACAGATGTGAAGGCGTCTAAGAAAGTAATGGAAACAAATGCACCATATTTGCCTTTAAACAGGATCTCATCTTGCTCATTCAATCCTCAATAAACTATCTTGAAACAACTTTATCTTTACTCACTTCACTCTGAGAGATCTAAAGAAAAGCAGGGGCAGCATACAGTCTGTGAGACTCCTCGGTGGTGCAGAGAATTGTCCCTAGCCAGTCTATTTTATCACATGAGGGAACAGCATAGCAAAAGGCTTACAAAACAAGCATATCCCTGTTAATTAAAATCCCAGGTGTACACGTCCATACCAGTGCACTGTGCAATATCTCTCATTGAGTCTGTGTACCTTCCAGCTAAATCTGCAGCGTTTGGTCACTTGTGGTCCAGCAACCACCCCCGTGTGGTCACCACAGGTGACCAGAGCATATCTCACACCAGAGATTCTATCGGACTAAAACTGAAGCTGATGATGCCCACGCACAGTTTGTGCCTCTGGAGAGCACCATCGGATTAGGAGCTCAGGAAGGATCTGCATGTTGTACACACCTTCACACACAGGATGCTCAATAACTCCCTGTAGTTCCCAGCCCCCTCACTAAGGACCGCTACCCCAGAGCCTGAGCACAGCATCACACCACCAGCGCACAGGCAGTCAGGGAGCATTGGAAATGTTGCAGAAAAAGACTACACATAGCGCTGGGAATAATACATCTTCAAAACACCAGCCTGGGACTCTCTTCTCCAGAAATAAATATCTATTTTGGTTTTACCCTATTCTAGTTAAAACGGGGTTATTTTATTTCATTATCTTAGCAAAGTATGGATTGGCAGATGAACAAACACACACAAGTCCATATTGTCAATTAACTCCAGATACGTCTTAATTCTCTGTTTCCTGCTCTAATCACTTTATCAAATGTTCTTCCCTTGGCCAGGGATGATGCAATTATATCATAATTTAACAAAAGGCCAAGCTGAAATGCATGTGCCAAAGGAGCAGAATCAAGGCTGAAAAAGCCATCTTTATGTTCATGTTGTCTGCCTGTGTCCTCCACTTGAAATGTTCTTTTGTTACAGCAAACTCTTTCTCAAGCAGCATATTCTGTAGCAATAAAGGACAGGACTTCAGCATTTCTGAAAAGAAATAACAAATAAATAAAGGTAGCTATATAATCTAACAATGATAAAATGTTACCAGCCCAGGAACCATCTCAAGAAGTGCAAAAAACCTGTTAAGGCAGCAGGTCAGACTGATGGACAAATTAAACTTGCAAAACAGCAGAAGAAAGGAGAAGCATTTTGCTTCTTTGAATATGGAAAGCAATTTAGAGAGTCCAGTCATTTGAAGAAGTAGTAGTAGTGCTCTCAAGTTTAACTTTCAGTATAAACAGCAATGTACCTTGTAGCAGTCCATTGAGAAGGGTGCTAATGCCAACATCTGGCCCCATGTGTAAATACAGGAAACTCATCTTTTTCAGGGAGTAGCTCCTTCAGTAAAAGTTAATGAAGCTATGCAAAGGTAAGTGAGGGGAAAATCTGACCCAGTTATTGTGTGTTGATGCTAGTTCTTTCAAAATAAAGTTGAGTACTGAAACCCTGCCATTTCGCACGAAACAGTTAACACACAGCAGAATCTGACTATTGCATTTAAAACAAAATTTTCCTTCCATATTTTTGGAGTTACCCTGAAAAGAGTGCCTGCCACAAGTATGTATATAGCACATACATTTGCTTGTGCCTATTTTTAGTAGAACCGAATCATGCTGAATGCCTTCAATATAGCATACGGTTTTCTAATTCCAGGCTGGAAAGCCCTCTTTCTGTGACGGTTTCCAAATAATGATGTCCCTGTGTTCCACATCATCTTAGAAACTTCCTCATACATTTCAGCAGCCTTCCATATTTAATCTCACTGATTAATGCTCATGCCATGGTCTAATGACCCACATGTCTCTGATGGGTAAGCCGCTAACGCCAGTGACACATTAACCTATTAACCTCTCTTTAAAATAACCATCATATTCATACAAACAGAATGAAAAGTCAGGCAGCAGCAGCAAAACAGTAGCATTGTGGTATCACACAGTAACACAGTGTATATCTAAACTGGGTAAAATGAAGAGGAGCATTTCAGGAATGTGTAGCAGATTTATTATATTGCAAGACCGTTTTGCCACAGTTTGCTGGTCTGCGAATTTGATAGCCTGCTTTAGCAGCATTATCCGTATTGTAAAATGTAATTGGGAGGAAGATCACTCTTCCGTTCACTCATTTCTTGAAATCTCTGGTACAGTTTGGGTACCTCACCCTGGAAGGTACCGAGAGTTCCTTCCAACGCGTAAATTGCCTTCCAATCTCGCTGAAGACAATGGGAGCGGGGGATCTGCGCACAGGGCGAGAAACCTTCATCACCTTGGAGAAGGCACTTTGCACAGCTCTCGCTGGCGATTCGTGCAGTGGAATAAACCTATCATTTTAAAAGGCAGGAGGAGGCATGCACAGCCATTTTTCAGAGAAAAAAAATAAATTCCCTTTTCTAAATAGTAGTTTTAGAAGACAAACAAATCTTTCTAAAAACCTGAAAACTTTATATTGTATGTATTTACTTTGTTCTACTTCAAAACCATCATGTCCTCAAGATCTAAGAAAACGTGCTGCTGTCATGACAAACCACATTGCAATCTTACAATACCAGCATATAATTATGTATATTATGTATAAATCATGCAACCAAAGCAGGGGGAAACCCCAAAAAAGCTTATTCTGAGCACATCACGGGGTATTTTGCTGCCTACACCTTATCCAGAGCGAATCTACACAACAGCCGGCAGACGGACGGGCGGAGAGGCTACCCCGCGTCTGGGCTGTTCACAGCAAGAGTGAGACCCAAGAAACAGCCCGTGTGAGCCATCGGGGGCTGCGCTCACGGCTGCCGCCCGGCTCGCACCCTCTGCTAGCGGCAGGACGGGCGCGGGGCAGCGGCAGGGGAGGGGAGGAGCGGGCGGAGGAGCGGGCGGGATGCGGGCAGCCCCCGGGGCGGCCGGCGCGCACCTGCCGGCACCGCGGCGGGGGACAGCGGGGAGCAACCAAAGCCCAGAGGCGGCGGCAGAGCCCTTCCCTTCGGCGGGGAGACCTCGCAGAGGGGGGTCCCCGCGCCCCGGAGAGGGGCATCTCCCTGCCGGCCGGGGAGCCGGCTCGCCGCACCCGGGGCCGGGGCGGGCGCCGCTCCTTTGTTTTCCGCCGCCCGCAGCGCCACGCCGGGCCGGGCCGGGCGGAGCAGGGGGGCCGCGCTCAGCCCTCCCTCCACGTGCACGCGTGGGCTGCCCGCGGGGGTGGGCGCGGGGCGGGAGCCGGCGGGGCATTACCTGAGCAGTTGATGCCTTTCCCCTTGCCGCCGCCCTGGCACTCGGAGCCGGGCAAGGGATGAGAGGCGCGGCCGGCGGGCAGCGCGGAGAGGGCGAGCACCAGGAGGGCCGAGGTGTAGCAGAGCGCCAGCGGGGGTCCCGCCCGCAGGAGCGGCCGGGCGGCGGCAGGGCTCTCTCCCAGCATGGCGAGGGGCGGCCGAGGAGCAGCGCCGGCGGCAGCGGGATGGCGGCGGCAGGCCCGCAGCATCAACCGGAGCCCGCGGCGCCGCCCGGGCGGGACCCTCCTTTCTCCGCCGCTCCGGAGCGCACCTTCAGCATCCCCGCCGCAGCGGCCGCACGGACCCGCTGCCGCCGCCGCCGCTGCCGCCGCCCGGGCGCGGGCAGGGCTGTCCCCGCCGGGGCCGCGCTCCGTCCGCGCTCCGTCCGCCCGCGGTGTCGCCTCGCCCCGGCCGCGCTCCTTTGTGCGCGGCGCCCGGCAGCGCCGCCGCTCCGCCTGCAACAAAGGGAGCGGAGCCGAGAGGCTGCTGCTGCCGCCGCCGCCGCCGCGGAGGGGGAGGAGGAGGAGGGAGAGAGAGCGAGAGAGAGAAGGGGGAGGAAGCACACGTGATGGCAGCCCCCTCCCCCGGGACCGGAGGGGAGGTGAGGGGCTTCTCCTCGCTCGGCGGGCAGGGCGAGCGGCGGCGGCAGCGCCCGCCCTCACGGCGGGGCCGTCCCCGCGGGGAGCGGTGCGGGGTCCCGGGGCGGGCCGGGCCGGCAGCGGGCACAGCCGACAGGCGTGAGGGGATAGCAGCGATGGGTGAATGGAGCAGAAAGGGTCCCCAGGGGCGTCCAGCAAAGAGGACCGCTGGCACAGGGTTTGTCACTGTCCGGGGTGGTTTTTTTGTTTTTCACTAATAAGCCGGCGTGAGTAGGGTTGGGAAAGAAAGCAAAGAGACCGTCGCTTCTATAATTGTAAGGATTGTGTTTAATTTTTACTGAGCGGAAGCCCAGCACGTATAGCGGGAGCATTTGCACCAGTCCAAGTCAATTAGTATGTTTACGGTGAAGGCAGTGAGTTTTGTGTGCTTTTACTATCTTCGGGTTTTCTCATCCTTTACATGGAGACACTTCAGAGGTCAGAAGCACAGCGCAGGAAGAAGGGACTAAGCATATATCTTCAGTGCAGATGCTCAGCATGTATCTGTGTGGCTGGAAGCTTTGTGTAAATTGACAGCACAGTGATTGTTTTCATATAGCGGAAGCACAAGACAATGCTTTACATTCAACGAGATTTTTTTCCTGTCTCAGTTGTCACGTTTCATGCGAGTTTTTAATCCACTGTGCAAACCATTTGTTTTCAGGAATAAAAACTGCCTTTTTCCTTGATCTCTGCCGCTACACACTGCTGATGGGCTGTAAAATGTAGAGCTTGTGTGAGGAGATCTGGCTTGCACTAAGGTATAGCTCTTGTGTGAGGAGACCTTTGAGTAGTTTGTTAACCAGAGCAGTCAAGAGCAAGGCCATAAATCCAGGAGTAACCTCTGGGGAGGCACAGTGGGCAGACACAACAACAGATAGTTGTGTGTTTAAATACAGCATTGAAGACTAAGTCCTGTATTACTAAGAGAGCAATTTCCTTTTGGCATAGGAGGTTCAGCACTGGCTGCCTCTGCCAAGTCAGTGTTCTGTAATTACTTAGCGATGCTAGGTGTGAGAAGAGCTCTGCTCCTCAGTAAGTTAGAGCACTTTAACTCGAATGGAACTGGTTCTGATGGAACTGGGCTGCTGAGGTGTACTGGCCAAGATGTTCAAAGCTCTCTAGGTTTGCAAGCTGGTGTCTGGTTTGCTAAGCAGATAAACCTTTGGGATCTTTGGGTCATGGGACTGGCACAGATGTTTTGAAGGTAGTGTTTTGCTGTTGCAGGAGCAAATGCTCTGTATAACTCCTACCATAAACACATCTAGATCCATCTTACACTAAATATGCTGTTTTCCTGTATCTCTTGCTGACGGGCTGGACCAGAAGAGCCTTCAAACACATTCAAGACCAGTTCATACCCATTTGTCCTTGTGCCATCCAGTGTTCCAGTTCGTAATTTCTCTTTCCATTTCATCTAAATCTGTAATATATATATAGGAAGTAGTCATAGCCACTCTTCACTGGTCTAACCTATCAGTACATTTTACATAGTCTCCTCCTGTAAGACAGAGCCTCTGTAACTCAAATTTTGCTGCACTAGATAAAGTTTGGATTCGGCTTTCTTCAGCATAGCTGCAGTTTGTAACAGCTTTTCATAAACTATTGCTAGTCTCTGCAATGGAGGTAGTCTCTCTTGATTTCTTCCAAAATTACGTTTTCTAATACAGCCAGTCTGCTTTTTATATGACCAAATCTCACTGATGGTTCAGGTCATGCTGTGAGTGACAAATACAGGCTTCTCCTCATATTTGTCATTTACAGTTCATATTAATAAAAATAATTTTTATAAATGTCTAAGTGCATGACTGTACTTTTTCCATTGTTGCATTTCATCCCATTTCTTTTATTCTAGTCCTCAAGATTATGTAGTCATCTTTTCAATATATTCTGAACCTCCTTTCTATTAACAATCTTGCGCAGCTCTTTGAGTCCACTTCCACATCTACAACAATGAACAAATAGGTAAATACAAACTGTAGGTCTCAGAATTAATTTTAACTGTAGCAATACTTCTCCGAGTTCAAACATCCCTCTTCCAGGGCAGTGGGCAGTACACTGTAGGGAGTTCCCAACTGAACTTACAAATTTGTTTCAGTTCCCAATGTCCTTCAGCTTACATAGGCAAAATGTATGCTGGGCTTGTAGAGTGGTTTGGGATGGAAGGGACCTGAACTACCGTCTAGTTCCAACCCTCCTGCCATGGGCAAGGACACCTTCCACTACACCTGGTGGCACAAAGCTCCATCCAGGTCCGCCCTGAACACGTCCAGGGATGGGACATCCGCATGTTCTTGCAGTTTAAAGTTGCTGCCCCTTGTCCTGTCCATATAAACCCTTGTAACAATACCTCTCCAGCTTTCTTGTAGGTCCCCTGCAGATGCTGGAAGGCTGCTATAAGGTCTTCCTGGAGCCTTCTCTTCTCCAGGCTGAACAACTCTAACTCTCTCAGCCTGTCATCGTAGAAGAGGTGCTGCAACCCTCTGATCATCTCTGTCTCTTTTCTGTACTTGCTCTAACAAGTCCACGTCCTTACCTTGGAGGCTCCAGAGCTGGCCACAGTATTCCAGGTGGGATCTCACAGGAATGGAGTAGAGAGGGAGCATCACCTCCCTTGATCTGCTGGCCATGCCAGTTTTGATGCAGCCCAGGCCATGTTTGGCTTTCTGGGCTGCAAGTGCACGTTGCTGGCTCAGGGTGATCTTTGCACCCACCAACACCCCAAATCCTTCTCCCCAGGGCTGTTCTCAATCCATTCTCTGCCTGAATTTGTGCTTGGGATTGCCTCGATCCAGGTGCTTTGCCTTATTTGTGCTTCACGAGTTTCACCAGACTCACCTCTCAAGCCTGTCCAGGCCCCTCTGGATGGCATCCCTTTTCCCCCAGTGTGTCAGCTGCACCACACAGCTTGGTGACATTGGCAGATTCCCTGAGGGTGCCCTCAATCCCGCTGTCCTTGTCGCCAACAAATGTTAAACAGCACCGGTCTCAATACCAACCCCTGAAAACATTGCTCATCACCAGACTCCACTTGGACACTGAGCCATTGCCTGCAACCCTTTGAATGTGACAACCCAGCCAATTTCTTATCCCCTGAGTGGTCCATCCATCAAAATTAGTCTCTCCTGTTGTGCAGAACAGTGTCAAATGTTTTGCACAAGTCCAGATAGACGATGTCAGTTGCTATTCCCCTATCCACCACTGCTGTAACTCCATGGTGGAAGGACACCAAGTTTGTCAGGTATAATTTGCCCTTAGTGTGAAAGCTCTTAACGAGTCCAGATAGATTGTAAGTAAACCTTATGGGATTTGGTTTTGGCTTTTTTTTTTTGTCGTTGTTATTTTTTTACTCTTGGGATGAATGGCATGCCATTTTTTATCTAGAAAAGCCACATCTGAGCAGTGCTATCTGTCTGGAAGTATCTCTAGCTAGTTTAAAGTGAGTGATATAGTCATGCTTGATTGGCAAATTCACACTATGCCAGCTGGGTATTCATTTCTATTCTGTTCTCTGATATATGTATTAAAAAAGAACCCTAAACACTTTCCTGCCAGCTTTAAAAGCAAAAGAATTCAGAAAGAATTTGAGCAAGCTGCTTCTGCGGTGCAAATTGTTGCATATGGAGGGAATGCCACACCAACAAAATGACAAATCTTGTGTGTCTTTGGGATCACACTAAACTCTGCCACATTTGTTAACTTCCATCTTTTGCAAGTAAATGTAAATTTATTGCAATTATCCAGCAATTTCACTTTTGCTCACCTCCAATTGCTCTTCTATGAAAGTAGGAAGCTATACAGATGGTTAAAAATTGTTGTCTTTGGTGAACTCTTGAATACCACCAGCAGTTTTTACATCCCCTGCTGATGCACACATACAATTTCTGCCCTCCTCCCTCCTGATTTTTCTCTAGTAGTTGTAGAAATGAAGATGTATAACCAAAGGGAAACAGGGAATATGAAGGAGCAGAGAGAAGCTGCCAGAGCAGTAAGAGTGATTTCATTTGCCAGAGATCTGGATACAATACAGATACACTTAATTGTGAAAGCACTGTTTTATTTTGTCTTGGAGAACAGAGATCTATAATTTAGCGAAACCATCAAAGTGTTGTTTGGAGCCCCCTGCGGCCTTGTGCATCAGACAGTGGAATCCTGCTCTTGCCAGGTATATTTGCCAGAGAACTGTGCTTATTAGTCTCAACTTTCCTTCTTATCCAAAAAAAACCTTCCCAACTCCTGTACTTGTAAAGAAAACATCAAATATATTGAGAGTATAAACTGGATCAGTGTTCACAGAATCAAAGAAACACAAAAATATTGAGCCTGGAAGGGACTTCTAAAGGTCACCTTGTCCAACTCGCTGTGTTCAAGCAGGAGCACCCCGAGCTGATTGCTCAGAACTGTGTCCAAATGGTTTTTTAATATTTCCAAGGATGGACATGCCAAAATCTCCCTAGGCAACCTGTGCCACTGCTTGGTCACCCTCACAGTGAGAATGTGTTTCCTGA